GCATTTTGGTGACTGAAAAGAGCGTGTGTGTGTAATACGTGTCAGATGCATTTTATTGCTACCACTTCCCCCCTCTCCCTTCCTCAGGAGATCAGTGTTTGCTTTCCCCAGTCCAAAAAACCCCAAGAACTTCAGCTGTACTTTTAATGCAATACATCTGCTGTTGCAAATGAGATCTTGTGTTCTGGTACAAATCATGGATGTAGTCAAATACATAAGACTGCTCTTGCTATCCTCTGGAAACCTAGCTTGAAAAACAGAAGTGAAGGAAATAATTGACCTGAGATTTGTGTGTTTTTTGGGGGTTTTTAGGTTTTTTTGTGCCTTTTTTTTTTAATTGGGTATTATTTGTTATTGTCTACTAATAATAGTTTTGTTCTTTGTAACAAAACGAACTTCTAACTACTTCCTGCAGTTTAGATGCAAAGAGATGTTAATGCACGTTATTTTCTGTCCTCTGCAGTAACTTTACCTTTATGTGACTGATGATGTCACAGAAAAGTTACTTATTTGGTCACGTTCCGCATGTAGAATAAGGGGAAATAAATGCGTTCCCCTAGTTAGCAGTGCCCTCTGGGGGCTGAAGAAAATACTGTTTTCTTTAAAAGCTCGCTGTGGTTGACAGTGGGAAGAATAAATCAGATTCCTAACTTCTTTCAGTTGCAGGTTTACAACTGTTGAAGCATGTATTTGTTATTTTATTAAATTCTCATATTTGTCTAAGGTATCTATTCTAGTCAATAGGTAGCTGGGTCTACCTTTAAGCAAAAAAAAATAAGTCTAGAATGCAGGGATTTACTTAATCCTGTCACCACAGGACATGATTTATAAATATTCAATTCAAACCAAAATTGCTGCTAATGTGTATTGACTCTTAGGATTTTTCTAGATGTCCAAGCATCCAAATGCTCTAGTATTTGCGCTAGTCCATATCTGCTTTTACTTAGCAATTTTTTCCCCTTATTTTAAAGAATTACAGAGTTGATGGGATATGAGCCAGAGGAACTCCTGGGTCGCTCCATCTATGAGTACTATCATGCACTGGATTCTGATCATCTGACCAAAACACACCATGACAGTAAGTGAAAAGATGTATTTGAAGCCCTCTATCTACAAGAGATGACATACAGCACTAGGGGAAAGCAGCAGCAGAACGAGGGCTTTCTTTTAATTGCAGATATGAATCTGCAGTGAATACTTACCTTAAATGTTTTTGGGTTTTTTCTGCCTGTAATTAAAGCTGGTGTCCTTTGTGCTTTTAGTGTTCACAAAAGGGCAGGTGACAACAGGACAGTACAGAATGCTTGCTAAACAAGGTGGCTATGTCTGGGTTGAAACTCAAGCAACTGTTATATACAACACTAAGAATTCTCAGCCACAGTGCATAGTGTGCGTAAACTATGTGTTGAGGTAAGTTGAGTCGACATTGCTATTCTTTGTCATTGTTTTTATTGAAGACGGAAGTCAGATTCTGATGGCACTACATATTTTTTTCAACTTGCTGAGAATGTGATCCCCTGTTGAATATGTTATGATGTTACTGTTGCCTACCAATGAAGTTTTGCTTCAAATACTGCCAGTACTAGCATTAGGAATTGTATTTGAAAACAAAGAACTTCTTTGATCTAGCAATGCCAGTGGTAAGATCTCTTGCAGGCAAATGAGTATAGCACCAGCCTCTTCTGGACTGTTGTGGTGGAAGTATTTGAGAATTTGTGTGCATCCTAGACAACTCTCTAATCTTTGTCCGCAGTCTGGAGCAGTTAATTTCACTAATTTAACTAACTTTTAGTCCTGGAGTCAGAGCAGCAGTAATGGTGTCTGTCTTGATCCCATTTATCTTTTTCTTCCTTAGAATTCCTCTTTTAATTGAAAACTTCAACTGAAGGCAGACTTGCTGACTGTTTTTTGCAACTGTATAATAGTCCTCAATTAGTTTTTCAAAACATTAGCAAATGTACCAGTATCATTTATGCACATTTGTTTAAAACAAAGAAAAGTGTTTTAGGAAATACCTAACTTTTTTTTTCTTACTTTCTCAATGCTTTCAGAAAAGCATGTTTATTTTTGTTACTTTTTTTGATGACACCACAATTAGTGCTTGCTTTGTCTGTTACATTTAAGGGAAGAATGACTAAGAAAAAAAGAATTCTTAAAGCTCCTATCCTGGTAATTTTGTGGTATGGTGTGTGTGGTGGTTTTGGTTTTTTGGGGCGGGGCGGGGGGGTGTTTGTTTTGAGTTTTTATGCAACTTACAAAACTGTTAAGTTTGAATTTATTAATTTTAGCTGTTCTTTAACAGTATATTCCTCTCTGTCTGACAGTGGAATTGTTCAGAAGGACTTGATTTTTTCCCTTGGACAAACTGAGTGTATGCTGAAACCAGTGGAGTCTCCTGATATGAAAATGACCAAAACATTCAGCAAAGATGACCTGGATGATACCAACAGTCTTTTTGAAAAACTTAAGCAGGAACCAGATGCTTTAACTGTGCTGGCCCCAGCTGCTGGAGACACAATTATCTCTCTAGATTTCAGCAGTAATGGTGGGTGTGTGTTTAAATTGGAGAGCATGCTAATTAGTAAAGTTAATATTTTACAGTAAATTTTGAAAAAAATAATCTCCCCATATCACTTGTCTAGTGGTATTTCAGCCACTGTGTAAATTTAATGAGGTCCGTAGACACGCTCAGTATCATTACTTAGGTTGATGGTTTCTTTTAATTTTTATAGAGTCTGATGAACAACAATGTGATGAAGTTCCTTTGTATAACGATGTAATGCTCCCCTCATCCAGTGAGAAATTGCAGAATATAAATATGGCAATGTCCCCACTACCTGCTTCTGAAACTACAAAGCCACTTCGTAGCAATGCTGATCCTGCACTTAATAGAGAAGTTGTATCAAAGCTGGAGCCAAACACAGAGCCACTTGAACTTTCTTTTACCATGCCTCAGGTGCAAGAGCAACCAACCAGCCCTTCTGATGCAAGTACCAGCCAAAGTTCACCTGAGGTTAGTGACGTAATTTGGATATGCTGTCATTAAAATGTATGTGATGCTGGGGCTTGTGGAGCAAATCTGGTTAAGAATGCAGCCAAGACAGGAATTGGAAATTATTTCTAAGTTGTGACTTAGTTAAGCTCACGCCATGATTTGAGGAAAAAGATAAATTTTCATACTGGGAATTGTCTTTTCATTAAAGTGAGCCTTACAAACACATGCAGTACCACCTGATAGAAATAAGAAGAGCTTGGGATTGGTCTTTCTATAAAAGAATGGTTCAGACACAGCTACTGTAAACAGCAAATTAGTTGCAATACATTACTGTAAAGGTTACTTCCAGGTTCCAACTAATCATGTGCTTCCCAAGTGGGGTAAATTTGAATGTAGACTGATAAATGTGTTTTCCTTTCCCATTTTAATTTTGTGCAGTTGTAGCTTCAAATTAGTTTTTACATTAGAACATTTTTTTCAGAGAACCTGTAGAAACAGTGCAAAATGATGTAATGACAGAAACTTAAAACTGCATTCAAAATGTTTTCACAGCCCAGTAGTCCCAACGACTACTGCTTTGATGTGGATAATGATATGGCTAACGAATTCAAACTGGAATTAGTGGAGAAACTCTTTGCAATAGATACAGAAGCAAAAAATCCATTCTCTACTCAGGTAATGTACATTAACTTAAAATTCTGTATCATCTTAATACTTAATAAGTGCTTCTCTTTCTCTTCGAATGTCTTCAGGAACTTCTTTCCTCTTTTATGTAATATAACCTAGTGATTCTGTGATTCTGTGATTTTTATTGAAACAAATTGCAAAAAGATATTGTCAGGGTTTGGTAAAAGGAGGAGCCTTAATGAAGCCATGAAGTTGTAGCTGAGATGTTGTTTCACATTTACAATTTTTACCTCTTGTCTTTTCCAGGAAACTGATTTAGACTTGGAGATGTTGGCTCCTTACATCCCAATGGATGATGACTTCCAGTTGCGCTCCTTTGACCAGCTATCTCCACTGGAAAGCAGTTCTTCCGGCTCTCAAAATGGAGCCACCATTACCATATTTCAGCAGACTCAGACACCATCCAGTACTGCTGATGAAATAAAACCAGTGACAGAACGTGTAGATGATGTGAAGACGCTAATTGTTCCTTCATCTCCTGTCCACCTAATCAGTGAAACGAGTAGTGCCCCAGCATCACCTTACGGTGGGAACAGGAGTCGAACTGCGTCTCCGATCAGAGCAGGAAAAGGAACATTGGATCAGACAGAAAAATCTTGTCCGGGAGCACCCAGTTTGCTAACAGTCACTCTGAACAAAAGGTATTTTAAAAGCAAAGCTTAAGCCTTAGTATCCGTTCAAGAAATAAGATATTGTATTAATTTTTAAATACTGCCAACTGTTGTATGTTGTCTTTGGCATTCTACTTCAAAGTAGAAATTGACACATTTAAATTTGGACATTCGAAACAAGTTTGGGTTTTTTTGGTATAGTAGGCTTCCCTAAAGTTAATTTTGCAGTAGCTTTTACATAAGCATCTTGTGTAATAGGCAGCTACTACATGCAAACTGTGTTCATAATTTTGTTCTGCTCTTGTATCTGACCTGCAGCCTCTTTAAAAGAACGCAGTAGGCATTTTACAAGTAGTTATACCCACATAATACTTCTCGTGCTTTTCTTGTCCACTTTGTTACGAGGTAAGAGGCGACTGCAGTCCATGTGCTACATGTATCGCTTTTAAAGCCAGCCATATTTCATAACGATGGACTGTGGCGTTTGTAGCGGGTATTTATCATGATAGAAAATCCCACAAAGTCAAACATCAGACCTCTGATACATAGAAGCTTGATCTGTACATAGAAAAATTTGGAATAGACTTTTCCTTACCCTTCCCTCCCTTCTTTCTGTTGAAAGTGAATTGCTGAACTTTTATGCTTTGTTTTTTTTTTTTTCTGCAAAGATTTTAAAATTTTTGTTATAACTCATTCTGAACTTCACAGCAAGATTAAAAGCTAACACTTGCTATGCTCATAGACAATGATTGTTGAAACGAGTTTCAATTATGAAAGAGAAGTAGTATAGTTCATAAATTCAGTTTTGTGATATTGTATATAAGTGTCCACAAAAGAAGAATGGCTTGAGGATAGTAGAATCGTCTTAACAGCCTGAATCAATTTTTCTTAGATCTACTGCAATGGATGAAGAACTAAATCCAAAGATGCTAGCTTTGCATAATGCTCAGAGAAAACGAAAAATGGAACATGATGGTTCACTTTTTCAGGCAGTTGGAATTGTGAGTTTTGTTTTACCATTTTAAAATATTCACTTTTAACCTTGCAATTTCTGAAATGAGGCATCAGTGCAGACTCCTGAGGTTAGCTGTTGGTATGCAGTGGAATCTTGGGATCAGAGATAACTGTTCGATAGTGAAATTCCCACATATATACAGATACTCTGATTTTTGTTCTCAAACATGCCCTCTATACCCAAGCACATTTCTTGATTAGGGAGAAGATACTCTTTTGTGAACATATATGTTCTTCAGTAGAATATGCACAAATGCAAGACATCACATTTATAATTGTCGTAGTTACTTCCCTTTTGAATTCATGCTCAATTTTTGTATTTGTCAATACTGGAGATAGTGTTCCTATGCTTCTTTCTATGCTTTCATTTTTTCCATCGAGACTGAGATACCTTTATTTGATCAGATAACGAGACCATCTGAACCATAAGGGAATAGAATTCATACAACCTAGCAAATGTATATTACTATCACTCCATTTCATGCACAGTATCTCTAGTATTAGCGTGTGTGTGAGTAGCTCATCATCATCTGTCTTAGCTATTCAAAAGAGACTTTTCAGGTATTCTTAGATTTGTGTTACTATGCAGCTTGTAATTTTCTGCAGAGGTATTTTGTCTCCATGGTCTTGTGTGTTAACTGTCAGTTCTTAATATTTTGAAAACTTGAGCTTTGCCATTACATACTGTCATCTCTCTTCTTGCCTTCATTGCAAATTCCCACTTCTCTGAAGTTTTGCACAGTTAATTCTTAGTTCCTCTGCTGCAATGTAGCCTTTGAGATTCTTTGTTTCTCTAATGGACCATCTCCTAGGTGTAGTCATCCATCATGTCTTACAGCACAGGATTATTTTCTAAAGTATGAATTATTCCTGTATTAGCATTCTGATTTGGGCATGAGATACATCACTGCACACTGTCTTTATCATTGCTCTCCTCTGAAAAAGCTGAGAATTTTATACGTCAGTGTTTTTCTATGAGGCAAGCAGGCTTTATTTAAAAAAAAAAAACCAACAAACTTACATCATTGTTTTCATTGCTAAATGCTTTGCACTTTCATGCATGTTGTTCTGTTGCTTCCAGTAGTTCTGTAAGAATTCACAGCTCTGCAAGAAATGTTATTGACTTCCATTGCCTTTTTCTCATGTGATGGTGCTACAGCTGTCATGTAGTGTTGCTGATAAAATATTCAAAATAGCATGGGCTGTCATTAAATACACAGAACGCAAGCAGCTCTGTATTAACTGCTCTAATAGTGTTCAGGCTCCTATGCTTAGTGCCTTTTTAATACTTATAGGATCAAAATTCATCCTTTGCTAAACCTTTTTCTTTTTTCTGTACCTGACAAAAGCGTTACAAATATTTTGATGGTTTCTGCACAGTCAGAAGCTGAATTTTCCATGTAGTTGGGTCTTACTGGTGTTATTCAAGCAAGTGCTTTTGTTGTTTGTCTTCTTTCTCCACAATGGATTTCTGAGAGGATGAATTGGGCATTGCACACACACACAGAATAAAAAGTATGTTAAATCCGGGCTTATAATAAATGGTATTCTGGGATTATGCAAAAACTTGCCACAACTTCTTAGCCATAAGGAAATGGGACTTATTTTGCAAAGAGTGAAAATAAGTGAAGACCAAAGTAAAGTTTTCTAGAAAAAACAGGAGAATTAGACAAGGGCAAGATGTGTTACAGTAAGATTATGAAATGATGATCCGAATCATTACATTGAAAAAAATCTGAGCTATATATTTCTTAATATGAAGGGCTCTATTGCATTCACAGTAAAATAATAAACCAGCAACAATGTAGGTGACTGACCTTATAAGTCCGAGTTGTTTAACTATAACTTCTATTATACAACTGTCCTTTTGACTCACATGGATGTTTTATAACCTGAAAACAGATGTTCTTTACTATTTTAAGTGTTCAGGATAATGGCAATGTTCTGAAATACCTTATCCTCTTTTTGCAGCAGTCAGTGCTACTAACAAGACAAAACTTTGCAGATTCAACTACTTTTGCTAGCTAACTTGATACTAAGATGGTGTATTTTCCTTCCATCCCATCTGTCTCTGTGGCAGCTTCTTCTTACTTATCCTAATTATATGGAGCCCTTTAAAAGCTGTCTAATCTCCATATCTTCTGTGCTGCTGTCAAAACAATATGCTAAGGAGCTATATCTGCAATAGAATGGCTTAGGACTGCGTTCCCCACAACACTTGGGTCAGATGGCTTGGTGGCAATAACTGTAGTGCAAGCAGAATTTACATCTTACATTTAGGTAGACCTGACCTACTGTGGTTCCTGACTCTCCCGTCTACACTATTAATTCCAGTGCAGAAAACCATTAGAGACTTCAGCAAAACCTGATGCTTGCTTACACAAGAGCAGTGGTAATTAAATGGGTGTGCATGTGTACATGCTAACCTCGAGCATGGTAATTGATGATAACCAGCATTTAGTAATTGTTTTCTGTAAGGGAGGTAAGGTCTTGAAATCTGATTCAGTTTTCTTTTAAATAATTTTCAAGGCCAGTGTACTTGGAAATGTATTTTGCCCCAAATTCTGAATAAAGTCTGCTTTAAATTGTAACAATGGCTACATTTAGTAATTAGTGACAGGAACTGTTGGTTTGGATGAGGGGCGTGGAGGGCTAGAAAGATACAGTATTCAATAAAGAAGACTTATTTTATTTCTTTCTAGGGGTCTTTATTCCAGCAGACAGGTGACCGTGGAGGAAATGCATCACTTGCTTGGAAACGTGTAAAGGGATGCAAAACAAATGGTCGTAATGGAGTGGAGCAAAAGACAATCATTCTGTTATCAACTGGTTAGTACTGGCTTCTTTTAATATGTAGAGGAGGGTGGATGGGGGCTGTGTGAAAGAGAACTGAGTGACAAAAACATCTAAACTTAACTCTTTTTATGAGCAATTTTGGAGGAAAAGTTAAGCACGGCAAATAAAGTGCACTTTTTTCCTTCCCCTCCCTCTATAGACATAGCAAGTAAACTTCTAGGGCAGTCGATGGATGAAAGTGGACTACCCCAACTCACGAGTTACGATTGCGAAGTAAATGCTCCCATACAAGGCAACAGAAACCTGCTACAGGGTGAAGAACTGCTCAGAGCTCTGGATCAAGTTAACTGAGCTTTCACAATACTTGTTCCTTTTTTGGACACTGGTGAATCATCACCTAAAGCAGTCTATTTATATTTTCTATATCTGATTTTAGAAGCCTGGCTACAGTACTGCACTAATTCAGTTAGTTCAGTTTTGATCCCCTTTCTACTTATTTTGACAGTCTTTTTAATATGTTCTTTATGTAACAATAACTCAAACTATAGTGCATTTTTATAATTCTTTGGTACATACACTTTTAAGTCCATTACATTTAAAACACACTTGCAATAGCAGCTTTGAAATATGCACCTGATTTTAAAAAAATATTTATTTTTTGGCTGGGGAGTTTGTCACCAAAACCTATCATTAGTAAAATGTCAACACAGGAAAAAAAAACTGGCAATGCTTCCATCCTGCTCTTCATAGGTAGTTGGAAGACTTGTGCTCTCTTACTCTTTATGTTCAAATAAGTTTTTTATTTTAATAGCTTTTATAAGAAACAACAATGCTTTGCAGCAGTGCATTGTAGCCACAATCGCACAATATATTTTCTTAAAAAATACCAGCAGTTCCTCATGCAATATATTCTGCATTTATAAAAAATAGTTTTTAAGAAGAATCTTCTTTTATTTGCCTATAAAATCATGTTTAAACCTGGATTATGTCATTATTTTAGTCACATTGTAACATAAATTGTTCTTAAATGCTGTCTTATGCTTTTGACTTAAATAAGTGTGGTTAGTCAAAGGAAAGGCTTTATCTGGAAAGGGCTAGCAGCATTTTATTTGGATACATTCTCAATTTAGAGAGAGTTTGATGTTCTTAAAGTAGTCACTTTACCAGCTTAAGAAAAAATAATTCCCTGCCTGTAGTTGTTGAAGTTAATGCTAATATTGTGTATGATCTTAAATCTAAATGTTCAGCTTACCCTGTGTGGTATAGGTGATATTTCAAGCAGATTGTAAAACATCTTGCATTGTTAGCAAAGTTTTATCTAGTACTTCATTGAGTTGCTCAATATTTTGATGTTTTGGTTTTATGCACCTTGTTGCTATTAACATTCATATGTTTTCATGTAGATTTCAATAACTTGAATATATTTAGAAGCCTTTTTATTTAGAAATATATAGTTGTCACAAACATCTTATTTTCCTATATGTACTGTACAAAACCTTCATTCAATCATTCTTTTGCTCTTTGTGGTTGGATCTAACACTAACTGTATTGTTTTCTTACATCAATAAACTATATGTGGACCAGGCCCCCTTGGGGAGTGTGTTATCTGAGAGAAATGAGATAATTTATATTTTTGTTAGTGGTTATTGTTCATCTGTGTTCCCTTTTTAACTTAGAGTTGATTGGAAATCACTGCTTCCTTATTTTGATTGTAACATCTCCGCGTTAATTATTTGAGCCTATTCAGTACTGAAGTCTCCTAGACAGTGTTGTACTACCGCTCGCCAAAGATGTTAAATTTTTGAATCTGTTATCACACCAGTTAGCAAACTTGCAAGTGAGGAGACAGTGTATTTGTGTTACTTGAGAGTGGAAAGATTCTTCCTTATGAACAGCTTGAAGGCTTGACTCTGGGAGCTTTATCAAGGTAACACTGGAAAGCAGGAAAAAGTAAAATTCACGACAGTGATCAATTAAAGATGGATTTTTATCACAAAACTGCATGATTAAAAAAATAAGCCGGTACTTGATGATAAATCTTGTTCTACATTCACGTGCTGTTGCCTCAGTTACTTTGACTAGGTGACTTTTCTCATTTTGCTGTTACAGAACACGATGCTACTACTAACAACCTTGTAATGTGTAAAAATGGTCAAGATATTCTGTGCGTTCTTCAAACTATTTTTAAAAACTTACCTCTGCAAGAAATCAAATGTGGAGTGGCACAATTTTGGTTTTATTTTGAAAATTTTGGTTTCATTGGACTCCGGTGAGTCTTTTGAAATAATATAATGGTACATAAGCTTAACCTGTCTCCTAAAATTACTGTTTCACTGAAAAGAGCACTTTTCAAACTGACACAACTGTATTAATTGAACTTAATGGACACTGTTGGCTTCCAACTAAAAAAATAAGGCACTGGTAGCAGAAGACAGTTGCATACTTAAAGTTTGAGTAGAAATTGCACAAAGAGAGGAGAAAGCATGTGGGTGTATGAAGCTGGAGTTGAAGCTTGGTGCAGATAACATTTTGAATATATACACCTGCTACTGAATACTGAAGATTTTTTTTTAAATGCAGCCTTAGGTGTACAAAGCTTGTAAAGTTCTATGGATAAAAGCAGCAGAGCTACTGCATACCTGCTGTGTGAGGACTCTTGGATGGCATTCCTTCCATGGCATCTTGTTGCGCTGTCAGCAATTTTACAGTTTAACAGTGTTTATAGTTTACAGGTTTAATTGTGAAGTTGCTAAAGGCTTAGGTGGTGATGCACCAGCTGGTAGGGTCATCCCTTACGCTTAGCTCTGCATGGATGGAAGTGATGCTTCTGTGAGATAGTGAGGAGAGTCTTGTAGGCCTGTGAGAGGTACAAGTGGGTTCTGCTTTTCTTACTGCCCCGGCAAGCTTTGAGCTGGCCTGGTGGGTTATCCTGTTTCACCTCCCAAGAGAAACTTCATACTTTCCTGCTTGATGTTGCTCTGCTACACTCTTGACCTTATTTTGGAGGAGCCTGACCTGTTTGGATGTGTCTGTTCTCTTCAGTGTACTTGAAGAGGGCATTAAATTTTCATAGCGAAAAATCTTGAAAAGAGGAGGAAAACTGAAGTGACCCACATGATTTATGATTATGAGCCTGCTGGCATCATCTCTGGCCTTAATGACAGCAGCTGTGGATTTAAGTGAGCCACGTTTCATCTAAGAATCTTCCCAAGTCTCTCACTTTTTTATTATACATAATAACAAGGCATAGCACTTTGTTTACTGTCCTGGTAAAAGTGACTGAAACAAGTAATTAATGGACTGAACTGCAGTAGCTGTATTGGTTTACTCTAGGGAAACAAACAAACAAACAAAAAAATCCCCATTGAACCTCATAGAGACACTGAAGAAAGCATGGAAAAGTAACAGTAATTGCTCTGGCCTTCTAAGAGCTTTGCTAAATGCAAATGCGAGTTCGCATAAACCTAGAAGTACGCCTTTTAGTGGCTTTTTTTGTTTGTTACTTTTTTTTTTTGCTTAGACTCTAGGAATACACAGCCTGATTCTAAACTGACTTTGGAGGACAGGCTTCTAGAATACATTACTTTCTCAATGTTTTCTTAGTGATTTTTGAATAATTTCTTTGCTGACTTGCTACCTTTTAAAATGTGGAGGCACTACATTAGAGCATTTACTCCTCCCCAGTAGTAAAGAAGAAACTGTAGGTAGATACAGTGTTTCCTTCTGCGTGTGAAACATGCTAGATTATGTGGAAATGATAAACTGGGAGAAAAACCACTTTAGCTTCCAGGAGGTTATTGTGACTACAGCAGTAGTCTAGCTGTGCCTTCTTCATGGCATAGCACAATTACTATTTTTACATATAGATGCTAATTGATGTTTTTATCAACAACAGTGACGGCTTTGTTAAAAGGTAAAGGAATTTTTAAAGTAGTATTTATGGTGACATTCATTAGTTTACCTGACAGTAGTTATAATTAACTACAGCTGTAGCTCCCAAGAAGTCACTTAAGTCTGCTGTCCAGTAACTTGATCTCAGGTGTAAATTAAGGTTAGCCTGGAGCTCAAAGCACACCTTTCTCATGTACCTTCCTCCCATATAGTGAGATAGGCTTGGACTCTATATTGATCTTTGAAAACCTTTGGGTGATAGGGGAAAAAATTGCTATTTAGTTTCCTTTGCTGTGTGTCTGTGTACATACATTAAATTCTCCCTAAGTAAATGCTGAATTAAAGAATTGCAGATTAAGGCCAGAAAGGACAATTAAAACTTGACCCGTAATACTGGTGACAATTGAAAGACTTCAAAGCTTATTTTGGATGAATTGATGAGCTCTGCTTCCAATGAAATACAACTGTAGGAATCAAAAAAGCCTGATGATTACAGGTTAAACTACTGCATATTTGATAGTAATTTTTCATTATTTCCAAAGCTGCTTAATTAAGCAGCTAAATGATGGTGGCCAAAGGCAGGAATGTGGGCTGTTTCACCAGCTTTCTCCACTGTTACGCTGCTGCATGAAGCGTTTCCTTTGATGAACAGTGCTGTGGAAGCCATGAGTACCTGACTGCTGTGAACCAGGCGAGAGCGGGACATGCCTGAGGTCAACCCTCTGTCCCCTTCCCTGCTCTCTAGCTGCTAGCGAACAGAGCACACATCTCGCTCAAATGTCACTGCACTGACACGTGTTATTCAAACTAATTGTTCAGAATGAAAATAAATGTTTCATAGCCCTAGTTTCATAGGAACTCACGTGAGTTGGGTATACAGCTTTCATTAAAAATACCATAAGCAATTAGGCACTTGACTCCCTGGAAAGCTCCATTCTGGAGAACTGTGATTTTTTTTTTTTTTTAATTCAAATTCTAGAAATGAGTTGTCATTTTTCTTCCGCTTCCCTGTTTACCTTGAGCAAGGCTTGCCAAGTTACCAAAAAGAGTTTGCTACTGGATTTATACAGTATGGTAGATTTTGTGAATAATAGCAGTATTCTCTCATGAAGAAGTGGTATATTTTAATGGGATTCTTTTTTGGAACCAAGTACAATGTATTGCAATTGATATTTCTCTTGAAACATTTTGACATACTTGTGACTGTATTTCTTTTTGATTGTGTAACAGTATAAAATTCAATAAAAAGAGAGGGTTTGTTTCTAATTTGTGACATCTGTGGTCTTTCTGTTCATCTGTTATCCCTGTTCTAAAAGATGGAGATGGCAAAGTGAACTAGATCACTACACAGCATAATTAAAACTCTTTGCATGTTTGAGGTCTGACTTACCTACTACTGACATGTAGTATTCAATATTCAGTAAATTCAATAAATACTTGACACTAAGCATACATGTGGTCTATTTTCCAAAAGCATTTATAAATTCTGTCTTGCCCTTACAGCAGAATCCTGTTCACCTTAGACACAGTGGTTATCCCACCTGAATTAAGTAGACTACATGCATGAACAAAAGAGATTAAGCATACAATTTAGCAAGTCGGACATCAGGGACTGTGTAGGTTTTCCTGCAGAAAGCTAAATGGAGAAGAGAGCAACAGATACGGAGCCAGAGGGACAGAGAATGTTAATGAAACCTCTTTGAGTAATCACATCAAGAATGCCCTTAGTAGCAAAACAGAAACTACTTTCAACCCAAGATGACATCTGCAGGTGATTTCAGTTGCTCTCAGTACATGCAAATAACTTGACAAGAACTTGTGACTCTTGTTAAATCGATACTGCTTCCTACAGCCCAGATTAAAAATATTTTGCAATGTTTTTGCTTGGTTGGGAAGTCTGAAAGCAGAAGGCATGCGTGAGTGCTGTCACAGTAGAGCATGATCCTGTTACTTGGTATTAGAGATAGGTTTGTACATACAGAAGTTTGAATACGCTATTTAATAAAATAGTCCATGATTTATTTTCTTGAAAATCCATTAAAAAGTGATACATTATCATGTTTTCAATTTGTAAATGTGTTCTAATACAATTATATAAGGTATTTAAAAAAAAAAGTTGTCTTGTGCTGCATGCAACTGGAGAAGCCCCTGTTACTTATATTTATGCAGGATAAATGACTGTTTAACTTGCAATTTATAAACTAGTAATTAATATGGCAAACAGGATTTTATCCTTTTGTTTAGGAGCTAAGTAAGAATATGAAGATGATACAGTAACTGACACGCTCTTC